TTATTTGCGTGCAACCACTCTCTGCCCTGGCACACCTAGCAAGGTGTGCCAGGGCAGCACCTAATTATTTGCGGTAATAGCCAACTGGATTTCAAGGTGTGAAATGAGATTTTCGCGTACACAATTTTGTGTTTTATGTGAGTTTGACTCGTTTATTTATTTAAATAAATCAAACTCGAATAATATAAAAGCATTTACAATGATTAGGTTTATTCAGAAAAAATTATACGACACTTAGGAAATAAACTCAGCCAAAAAAATTATATTCTCCAATACAAGTGCAATTGATCGGGTGTGACAGTAAGAAAAAGAAACTCGATCTAGCCTTAAGTATATTTTAGACTCAAGTAGAGATTAAGTCTCTTTGCATTGAAGTGAATTGTGCTATGTTTACATAATTTCATTCATGTCATCCAAGACTTAAGTTTATCTACATGTCACGTAAGCAAAACAAGACTCAAAGCATTGTAGATGCTCTAAATGAATTAACTTACATATTAAAAGCAATGTTGCGTGGAGGTAGAGGCACGCGGGTCAAACCCTTTTTTCTCTTGAAGAATAAGGATCGACTAGCTAGCGGTGTGCCAGCTATCTCAGTACGGTAGAAGATGCAAGTGTGTTTGGTGGCTTTTCAAAATTCGCCATCAAATCATAAGAGGTGACTGAATATAAGTTATTTTGCTTTTGATTGGATTTGTTGGTTAATTAGAATTCATTTTGAGAAAAGTTGATTGGATTAAGTTTGAGTGTGATTTTGAGTTTTTATTAAAATAGTATTTAAAATATAACTTTTAAAGTTGATTTGATTTAAAAAAGTAAGAGGGGTGTAATTGGAACTAAGGGTAGTTAAAATTGTTTGGATGAATAAATAATAAATTAAGATTGTTGTGATATGTGAGAATGATTGATCGGTATTATTTATAGTTATATTAATAATATTGAGGAGGGTTGAGTTAAGTTAATATTGAGTTAAAAAAAATATATTTGATCGAAAGTGACCAATTGTCTTATAAACAATCAGGGCCTAAAGCTCAATCTTGGACTGTAAAAACAAATTTGTTCTCAAACAACTCATTTGTGAACGAACATTTCGTGTTAGTGAACGACTATTTTACGATTTTAGGTTTACTAAACAATATGATCTTTCACGAGCTTAAACGACTCAAGCTTTTTTTTTATTTCTAAACGTGCATGATCACGAACATGAGCTACTCAACTCAACTCGAATATCACCCTTAACTTCAAGGGAAATTTACATACATATACTCTATATAACAAATATTAACATATATACTACTTGGAAAGAGTTTAATCAAAATAGGACTTGGTGGTCCTTTTTTTTTCACAAATACGAGATTAATTCTCTCACATTGTGATCTCCTTCTCTCTCCAACCAATAAATACGCAATTAATTGTTGAGAGTCTTATCTCTCTCCATATTTCT